AATATAACATAAGCTGTAGTGAATATTCCGAGTTTTTAAATAAAATGGCGATCTCTCGATTAAATGTAGCTTAAGCGAAAGAAGCAGGAAAGCTATTGATACATAAGTTTTTAACTTGCATAATCCAGTATCAAGAGATTACTTTTCTTAAAGGTCAGTACAGGTAATCTTTGCTTACAAATGCTATCCATATATTAAGGTTGCAGAGTTAACGTTCTATCTGGTAATTTTTCAAAAATCCAGGCTGATCTAAATAATTTCAAAAATGTACTTAGTTAATGATATTATATGGAAAATTTTGCGTAAGCGTAATTTCATTAATGATTTGGTAGCATCTCAGCTACCTTACCCGCACTATTACTAACGATATCATGACTCTTATCGTTGTTGACCTCATCGCTATCGTTTACGTCGGTCCTTCTTTCGATTTTTTCCCGCAAAGCACCTCAAACATATTTATTCTTACCCAGGTTTCTACTAGTAGATCATAGCTTCACTGGGACAAGTCCATAGCTCAAAATTTGCTTATCCCATCTTAACATATTGCAGAGTTATGTCAATGGCTAGCGACTTGATTCCACTACTTTCGGATCCTCCACCGTATCGCGACATTAACAGCAATATATATCCTTTAAAGAAGAAAGATTTCGATCAACCTCCGCCATATCCATCACCACATGAAGTGCTTGGTAATCGATTTCACATACCCAAAGGGTAATGTTCATTTTTTGTTGATTATGCTCCTCATTTTAACTTAATATGCTTCCACAAATTTGAATCTTGGTGAATTTCAAATTTTTTGCGCTTAATAGGCAACAGAAGTTCTGATGGCTTTTTATTTGAAACCCTAATTTAATTTTTCAAAATTTTTTAAAGCTCTTTTATAAAGGAGAAATTTTCAAAGCTGAATTATAATTTAAGAAATTCACAGCAAGAACATATTTTAGACTATGGGTCCCAGTTAGTTGCTTATTTTAATTCTGAGCACATTTTTCTTCATTTATTTAGTCATTCCAAGTTTAATGCCACTTTATTTCTGAGATGAGCAGAAACAAAAAGTCATCTTTTTTTATTTACCACACGTCATCTTTCCATTACATAAATATAGACATTTATCTTTCCAGAAATAGTCTTAGAATGTTCAGTTTTATCTTCGAGTCTTTTAAACCCAATCCTCGGTCTTTTATTTGTTGGACACAAGCCTCGTTGAATTTTTTTATATTCAATTCGTCCGCCGTTTTTCGAAATTTATCCATTGGATTTTCGCTCGCTAAGAGTCGCAAGAAGTCCTCAAACTCTGTAAATTTTCCAGGAATGATATTCGTCTTCCCTCTGTAAATTCTAACGCAGGATTCAACTGCCCAGTTTTTGAATCGCATTAATATTGCTCAAACTCTTCATTCCATGCGCCTACTAATAAAAGCTACTCACCCTTTCTGCTTCAATATAATTTCCATAAGAAAAAAATTTTCCAATTGTGATGCTAACAGCAACGCAATTAAAATTCCGGGAACAAAGCAAAATTCGAAAGGAAAAGACCGTCTGAAACGCCTTTAGCAATGAGTAGTAGAAATATACTGTCGCGCTGGTAATGCGAACCTCTAAATCTGAGGGTAACAAAGCCAAGGCCGAAGTAAAAAAAATCAAAACAAGAAAGATTAGCTCATTTGTCTTTCGCTATTCATCTTTTATGCTATGGAATTAAATTGATTAAAATTTTAGTGCAGAAATGTTTAATGCTATTTGGTATAAGTAATTCAACTAGTTTTTTACCTCTCTGACTGTCTTCTCAAAAAAAGAAAAAAAGCTTCTAAAT